CACCTGGGTGGCTCAGTGGGTTAAGCATCTGCTTTCGGCTCAGGTCATGATCCAGGGTCCTGGGATCCAGCTACATGCCGGGCTCCCTGCTCAGTGGAGAGCCTGCTTCTCCCTCTTCCTCTGCTGCTCCCCCTGCTTGTGCTAATTATACCCAAGTACTCTCCTTTGTAGAACAGGATTTTTATTTTAATGAAATGAAACTTCCCATTTTTTTCTTTCATGGATCTTGCTTTTGGTATTGTATCTTAAAATACGTCAGTTAACCCAGGATCATCTCCTATGTGATCTTTTAGGAGTTTCTAACTTTAGATTTACAATATATTTTTGGTTGAGTTTTGGGAAAGACATAAAGTCAGTGTCTAAATTCTTTTTTTTTTTTTTTTTTTGGTTTATCCTTTGCATGTGGATAGCCACTCTTTCTAGCACTGTTTGTTTAAAAGAATTTTTTCAGGGCGCCTGGCTGGCTCAGTCCGTGAAGTATCTGACTCTTAATCTTGGCTCAGGTCATGGTCCCAGCATCCTGGGATTGATCCCCACGTCGGACTCCACACTCAGCACAGAGTCTGCTTCAGATTCTCTCTCTCCCTCTGCCCCTATCCCTGCTCATGCATGCATTCTTCTCTCAAATAAAATCTTTTTTTTTAAAGATTTTACTTATTTATTTGACAGAGATCACAAGTAGGCAGAGATGCAGGCAGAGAGAGGAGGAAGCAGACTCCCCGCAGAGCAGGGAGCCCGATGCGGGGCCTGATCCCAGGACCCTGACCTGAGCCGAAGGCAGAGGCTTTAACCCCCTGAGGCACCCAGGTGCCCCAAATCTTTTTTTTTTTTAAGATTTTATTTATTTGTTTGACAGACAGAGATCACAAGTAGGCAGAGAGGCAGGCAGAGAGATGGAAGAAGGGAAGCAGGCTCCCTACTGATCAGAGAACCCGATGTGGGGCTCGATCCCAGGACCCTGGGACCATGACCTGAACCGAAGGCAGAGGCTTTAACCCACTGAGCCACCCAGGTGCCCCCCCTTTTTTTTAAAGGCTTTTTCTCTATGTATTGCCTTTTTGTCCTTTGTCAAAGGTCAGTTGACTGTATTTGTGTGGGTCTACTGAACACAAAACATCTATGTTTGTATCAACAGCGGCCTTCAGGGCAGGACTATTGGTCCATCAGTTGTAACAAATACACCACAGGAACAGGAAATGTAAAAAATATTGCGAACTGTGGATGCAGAGGGGTCAAGTGGGACCTCTGTACTTTGTGATCAATTTTTCCGTAAACATAAAATGCTCTAACAAAAAAACCCTGAACTCTCGTCTTTTTGTATCTTAAAATTTTTTCTGGTCTACTAGTTTTTTATAAATTGTAATCCTTAGCATGCAATTAATATAAAAGAAACAAAACTTATATACACTATATTTTACCACTTAATAGTGTTTTCAACTTTTGCTACTTTTAAATTAATTTAAACTTGGGATGCCTGAGTGGCCCAGTGGGTTAAAGCCTCTGCCTTCGGCTCAGGTCATGATCCCAGCGTCCTGGGATCGAGCCCCACTTCGGGCTCTCTGCTCAGAAGGGAGCTGCCTTCCCCCTCTCTGTCTGCCTGCCTACTTCTGATCTCTGTCAAATAAATAAAATCTTTTAAAAAAATTAATTTAAACTTTTCTACACAGGAAATCATTCTAATATCTAATTCTTTAAGTACTAGCCAGTATAAAAGTGTAGCCCATAAAAAATGAAAAATTTCAATGCTCTAACTAAAAGGACAAGGGACAAATAAATAAATAAATAAAAGGACAAGGGACACCACAGTTTGTCCCTCTGCCATATTTCACACTAGGGATACTCAGGAATGAATAGTATGTTGCACTGCATTAGGGGACTGCATTTAAATCCTGAAACCTACCAGGATTTTTAAGATTTACATAAGCTCGGGTAGTTTTTCTGACATCAATTAAAACAAATTCATTTGCCTTAAAAAACAGTAAAGCCTTTTAAACGTCAAAGTTGCCTGGAGACCTGCACATACAAAAACGGGTCTGTATGTGAGAAATGAGGGGCGTCCAGGGGGCTCAGTTAGTAGAGCATGCGACTCTTGATCTCGGGGTCGTGAGTTCGACTCCCAAGTTGGATGTGGAGATTTCTTTTTTTTTTTTTTTTTTTTATTTTTTAAGATTATATTTATTTATGAGAGAGAGAGAGAGAGCGAGCACAGGCAGACAGAATGGCAGGCAGAGGCAGAGGGAGAAGCAGGCTCCCTGCAGAGCAAGGAGCCCGATGTGGGACTCGATCCCAGGACGCTGGGATCATGACCTGAGCCGAAGGCAGCTGCTCAACCAACTGAGCCACCCAGGCGTCCCGGATGTGGAGATTTCTTAAAAATAAAATCTTTAGGGGCGCCTGGGTGGCTCAGTGGGTTAAGCCTCTGCCTTCAGCTCAGATCATGATCTCAGGATCCTGGGATCTAGCCCCACATCCGGCTCTCTGCTCAGCAGGGAGCCTGCTTCCCCTGTCTCCCTCTGCCTGCCTTTCTGCCTACTTGTGATCTCTCTGTCAAATAAATAAATAAAATCTTTTATAAATAATAATAAAATAAAATAAAATCTTTAGGGTACCTGGATGGCTCAGTTAGTTGAGTGACTGCCTTCAGCTCAAGTCATGATCCTGGAGTCCCAGGATTGAGTCCCGCTCTGGCTTCCTGCTCACCAGGGGGTCTGCTTCTCCCTCTGACCTTCCCCCTCTCATGCTGTCTCTCTCTCTAATAAAATCTTTAAAAAATTTTTAAAAATAAAATCTTTTTAATAAAAGATTTTATTTATTAGAGAGAGAGATCACAAGTAGGCAGAACAGCAGAGAGGGGGAGGCAGGCTCCCTGCTAAGTAGAGAGCTCAATGCGGGGCTCGATCCCAAGACCCAGAAATCGAGATGTGAGCCAAAGGCAGAGGCTTAACCCACTGAGCCACCCAGGTGCCCCCAAAATAAAATCTTTATATTAAAAAATAATAATAATAAAGATGAAAAATGTGCCTGAGAACTTCAATATGCCCATCTCACAGCTTGAGACTGTGCCTAAAAGGAATAAAAAATTCTGTTTGGTTTCAAGATTTTCTTGCCTCACACATTTTTCTCAATCAACTTACATTTTCAGAGCCCAAGAAATAAAAATAAAAAATCTTACCCATTCAGACAGGAAATAAAACTGCAAACTACTAAGGAAGACTAGACTGAAAGGACTGGAATATTCAACAGATAAAAAAGAATGCCAAGGAAAGAAATGCAAGCATTCAAGTCCGCTCAGATAAGCAGCCTGCTTACCCAGAGTTAAGAAGGAAAACCCATATTCAGAAATTAGACCCACTTCCAAGCTGGGCTCTAGACATTCCCAGGTGAGACAGCACCTCCACAGGGGGTCAGCCCCTGGTGCAGGAGGGACATCCGAGAACCTGCAGGAATGGGCTCTGGGAGCCCCGCACACCCTCCTTTCTCCTGGCAGCTTACGGGAACTCCCTCCCCCAGGGTTTCCAATATTACCTATGAGGAAACTCTCAGGCAGATTCAGTTTAAGGTTGTGACCCTAATAAACACCCAAATTCATAAATATCTTGTCCAGGAGACAGAACTCCAGACTCTCACAATTTCTCAGTACACAAATTACACTCTGAGTGCACCTGTATCATGGATGCAAAACCCCAACATGCAAAAACATCTAGGCCTGAGAAAATGCCCTATGCCTTTGCCAGCTCAGAGCTGGCCTCAGCTTGGAGTTACTGGCCTCAGGGCTCTGCTCCCCAATCACAACGCTCTGGACCACCACTGATCATTTAAATGACATAAACCCAGGGGTTCAAGAATCCCCCAAAATCTCACACACCCAGTGTTTATGTGTAAAGGAGGAAAGAAAATTTTACGGAATTGTACTAGTTCAACAAGAAAACCAACTTTCTACTATCAGAAAATGAAAATGTCCATTATTTCCAGGGAAAGAAATTGATTTGTAAACAACTGGCTTGGGATACTTAGTGTCACACGTCTAGGCCCTGCTATGCCATTTAAAATCACCTGAAAGAACTAAAAGATCTCAGAATATTACTGTCCCCACTTAGAAGAAAAAAGGGAACAAATTGTAACAAATAGGAAGGAATAATTTTTTTTTCTGAAATTCACCTTTTTGGAAATACTTTATACTGTCTCCCAAGCTAAGTCTCAAGTGAATAAATCTTTTCAGAATGACAAACGCAAGGAGGGGCAATGTTGACAGGACAGATCACCCAGGAAAGTTTTAAAGAAGAACCTCCACTCAAAGGACATCCGACAGGACATCAGTGTCCGGGAAAGATCTTGGGCAGGGGGCGGGGGACACACACACACACAGATTTCATTAAACAGTTCCAGGTGGTTATTTTCCGCTTTCTTCTCATGTGAAATATCCACAAAAATAAATCTTTAAAAAAAGCCATTCATAGCTCTGTGGATAAATGATAAAATACTGCGTAATATGAAATGCATCCTGGAGAACAAATAGTTAATAAGGATGCTCTAAACTGGAAAGATGGCGTTTCAGAAAACACGGAAAGATCTGGAAATTAAGGCATTTATTGCCAGTCCCATGAAGAGCTAGGCTGGGGGCACAGGGTCCTGGCTTTGAGACCCTACTCCCAAATGTTTGGAAAAGTGCGGGGAAACCGGGTCCCCCCAGGGAGAGAGGGAAGGGGACCCCACAGACCACAGCACCTCCCGCGCACGAACCCGGGAGACCGAGGCATGACCGTCCCCTGATGACCCTCCCTGTGGTCATCGCCCGATCTGAGGGAGACGCGGCCACGCAGGGACGGGAGAGGATGGCATGGGTCCCTGCGGCCGGGCCGGCCCCGCGCTGTGTGCCGCGCCATCCGCGGCCTCGGGTCCCCAGACTCCGGAGTTCACCGCGGGGAAGCCAGGTCCAGCCACGGCCGGTTCCAGCCGGTCCCACTGCCCCCCTTTCCCGACTCCCGGCCCCGCACACTCACCATTTGCCCGCTTTCTGGGGTACCGGGTCGACCACCATGCGATTGCCGCGGCCGGCGGAGCTCACGGCGACAGAGGATGTGGCGGAAGCTCCCCAAGCCTTTCAGGACAGCGCGAGGTGATGCGAGCCTCGGCCGGACAGCGGCGACGGCACCCAGTCCCCGCCGTCCACAGCGCGTCGCCCGCACGTACGGTTCCAGCGACTCCCCTGATTGGGCCGTTCGCGAGGCCCCGCCCCCGCCCGCCTGAGCGACAGCGGGCCGGAGGTCACGTCTTTGAGTCGACCTTGCTTGGGCGGCGGGCTGCAACCTGGTCTCTCCGAGGACGTCGCTCTGAACCGTGAGGCCACCAGGCCACTCACGGAGCCGTGACCCTTCCTCACAAACACGGACCCAAGTGACCTCACCGTAGGTAGTGCGGAGTCTGGTTCCATTTGGATCTTGGACCATCTGCCATCAGGGAGTCTTCTGCCCACCACGCCCCCCAACCGCACTCCTTTGTATGGAAAGAATCTCGAAGCCTTGGGCCACTTAGCTTGCTGGGAGGTTTGAACCCCACAGTCCTAGACCAGCCCCGAAGCCTCAGGTGCTCGCAGGTCAGAAACATACTGAGGCAAAAACCCACTGGAAAACCTTTCAGCGTCATTCCGTGGATACTTACCTGCTCAAAGGTCAGAGGAGGAAAACGGAAAGAACACCGCTTAGGGAAAAATAAGAGATGGTAAAGGTATCGAGGATAAACAAAGCATGGGGACAACGGTCATCGAAGGGGCAGGACAGAGGTGAGCCAGGGAGGGGAACATGAGACTGACTACTGCCCACACTTAGGAATCTTGATGATGACTTCGGGAATGTTTGTATTATTAGCAAATCCTACCGCAAAACATTTTGTACATTCTTTCCTCAATATATGTGGTGATAAAAATCTTAAGAAATTCTGTTTGAAAAGAACATAATTTGTTTATGTTTGTTGTAATTTGGCAATCTGAGATTTTACTCATGGTTTCAGTGGCAAAATTGGTTAAAATCCAACTGTTTATTTAGAAAGAATTGCTTGCATAAACTCATTATCATACCTACTTTTTTTAAAAAAAAACAAAGGGTGGCATGTATTGATATGTAAAAATCTGGACTATTTATTAATAGAATAATTAAGTAAAGTGTATTACAATATATACACCATGTTACCCCTCCTGTAACTGTCACCTGAAGAGTCAGGCTGGGGGTGGGGGGGGTGACTCTGGGTTTGGTTAACAACATATCCCTTCCAGGAACAAATGAAAAGGTTAATTACTTTGATAATGGAAGTGTCCAGGGAGGGCAGGCCTCCCAAGCAGGTGGGAAGTGCCTTGAAAAAGCAAGGAAAGGGGGCACCTGGGTGGCACAGTTAAGCAACTGACTCCTGGTTTCAGCTCAGGTCCTAATCTCAGAGGCATGAGATCAAGCCCCATGTTGGGGCTCTACACTCAACACTGAGTTTGCTTAAGACTCTCCCTCTACCTCTACCCCTCCCCCAAATTAATAAATAAATAAAGTCTTTAAAGAAAGAAAAAGAAAAGAAACAGCAAGGGAAAGAGCCTGTCCTAGGTTTTCTTGAAGTTCCAGGGTTGTCTCGAGTGAGAGTTTGGGCACAAGGGCAGGGCCTCCCGGGATGGAATGTCTTGCCGGCACCAGAGCAGTGAGCAGCCGGACTTTCTCGTCACCTTGTTCAGATGCAGGGCACCAGGAGGAGGAGGAGGAATGAGGCTTTTAAAGGTGTCAGCCAACAGACATTAAGAAATAGAGACCTCTGGTTTGTCATCTGGCATGTAAGGAACTTAGAGGTGACATTCCAATCCTCACCAGAAGACTTAAAATCAACACCATGTAACTGTGAAAGCATTAATCACAGGGCAAACTGCGGTCTCTAGAATTGGAAACAGAGACAGAAATGTAGCCATTTTGACATATGCCTGTATGGTTCTCTTTAACAAGACCTGTCCTTAATATAATCTGCTTTTCAAGAGCCTGACTGACTTGGGATTTTGCCATAATTGACCTGACACGGTGGGCATGGGGAGGTGGGGGGATGAAACAGCCAGCCTGAGTTCCCTTTAGCTTTCCTCCATGACCTGTGCTGAGGGGAGGTGGGGCTTAGAAATACTTGTGAGGTTGAGAGGTTTTTTGGTTTTGTTTTTTCTAACTCCTGAGAGCAAGTACTTGGTGTGTTTCTCACCACTGGTTTTCCCAGCTCTCCAACACTAAGGGTGAGGGTGGCCTACAATTCTATTTAGTTCTTTTTTTTTCTTTTTTTTTTAAGATTGTATCTATTTGTCAGAGATTGGGAGAGAGAGAGACAGAGAGCGCACAAGCAGGGGGGAGTGGCAGGCAGAAGGAGAAGCAGGCTGCCTACTGAGCAGGGAGCCCGACGCAGGACTCGATCCCAGGACTCTGGGATCATGACCTGACCGAAGGCAGGTGCTTAACCAAGTGAGCCACCCAGGCATCCCAACAATTCTATTTAATTCTGACACAAAATAGAGTTAACATCACATTCCACAGTTTAAGGGCTCAGTCCCACAAAATTGCCCCCACATTGGAAGGCAGCCACAAACAGGGGAGAGGCGGCTGGCTACACACATTTCTGCATGGCCAACTACAGATTCAAAAGTTCCCTGAATCATGTTTGTTAATTTGACAGCAACACTTTAGAACTAATAAAATGCTCTTATTATTATTGATTCATTGTAAAAGGTACAAGTCAGAAACAGCCAAATGGAAGGGGCATACGGGTCAAAGGATGTGGGGGAGGTAGGGAACGTCCATGCCTTCTCCAGATACAACACACTTCCAGCACATTGATCTTAGAATCTCTCTGAATCCTGAGGTTTCGGGGGGTTTATGGAGTTTCCTTACATAAGCATGAATGACTAAATCATTGGCAGTTAGCTAATAACTCTGTCTCCAACTCCTTCCTCCCCACTACCCAGGGGCTGGGGGCTGAGCTAAAAGTTCGAAGCCTCCAATCCAGGCTTGGTCTTCCTGGTGACTCACTCCCATCCTGAAGCTATCTAAGGACCAGCAAACAATTACCTCCGGTCACCCTTACCACTCAGAAAGTCCAAGGGCTTTAGGAAGTCTTGGTTGGGAACCATGGACAAAGACCAAATCTCTTTCCTATTATACCAAAGAAGGTCACAGTCCAAGGACACATGCTCATTAAAATCCATGGAGAAATCCATGAATCCACGCATAGTTGGAGTCTTTACCACCCTCCATCAGTAATAAGAGTTCTGGCAAGAAGAAAATCAGGAAGAACATAGCTGAATTAAACAGCACCATCAAACAAGGGGATATAATTGAAATCCATGCAACACCTCATTCAAACACAGCAGGACATACATGCTTCTCAAGTTCACATGAAGCATTCACCAAAACAGACCATATTCTGGGACATAAACAGCTTAAAAAATTTAAAGAAAAGAAATCATACCAAATGTGCTGCAGAGCACAAGAGTACTAATCTAGAAATCAGTAATAGAAAGATAGCTGGAAAACCCCCAAACACTGTGAGATTAAACAACACACTTTTAAATTACATATGGGTCAATAAAAGAATGACGTCAAAAAGAAGGTAGATTAAGACTTTTCTCCTAAAATCTCCAAGTGCACCAGTTTTGACAACCACCCAAAGCTGAGAATACCTTTCGGGAAGTCCGGGGCAGAATTTCCAGCACAACACTGGAGCAAATAAACTGAGAGCAGACAAACTGCAGATAGTACGAAGAACACTTTCACTTTACCTGTATCCCCCTGCCCCCGCCCTCAGAGCAGCACACCTCATTGTTGAGACCGCCCTCAGGTTGGCCTGGCATTTCTTACATGGGGAAAGAGAGAGCAAAGTGACTAAGCACTGGCTTCCCCAGTGGTACAGGACACTGCAAAAGAGACCCATTGCTTTCTTCTCTAAAAATATGTAGGGGAGGGGCGAAATATGTTCACAGGGGCGAACTGGGGGGCTCGGTCAGTTAAGCGTCTGCCTTCAGCTTAGATCATGATCCCAGGGTCCTGGGATGGAGCCCTGCATCGGGCTCCCTGCTCAGTGGGGAGTCTGCCTCTCCCTCTCCCTCTGCCCCTTCCCATGCTTGTGTGTTCTCTATCTCTCCCAAATACCAAAAAATCTTAAAAAAAAAAAAAAAAAAGAATATGTAGGGGATGGCAATGGATGGGCAGCTGGAAGGCTGATACTGGCTAGTCCGCAGGGCTCATACCATCTGGGACCTGGAAATTTTTTAAAAAGGCCGCAGACCCTAGTGTCTGCTACAAACACCATCAGGAGGCTCACAGAGCAGCTGCTGGGGACAGTTCTGACTGGCTTATGGGTGTGCCTGATGCTCTACGTGCCTCAATTCCAACCCTGTGTCCAGCTCCCTGCAAACCCTGAGATGACGAGCACAAGCAGAAGTCTTTCAAGCATGTACATCCAGCCAGTCTGACTTGGAGGAATTGGGAGAAGACATAGACACTTGAGTATTTCAGAGGACAACCTAAGGAGAAAAAATGAGAAGCTCTCAGCACCCATCTTGGCTTTGAAAGAGCAAGGGAAGGCATAGAGCCTTAAGAATATCCCCCAAAGGGACGCCTGGGTGGCTCAGTGGGTTAAGCCTCTGCCTTCAGCTCCAGTCATGATCCCAGGGTCCTGGAATTGAGCCCCGCATTGGGAATCTCTGCTCAGCAAGGAGCCTGCTACCCCCCCCCACCCCCAGCCTGCCTCTCTGCCTGTGATCTCTGTCAAATAAATAAAATCTTTAAAAAAAAATTCCCCACAGTTTGGCGACCGTTGCCATTGCTGCCATAATCATTGGGGTACAGATGGCCCTTCTCACTACATCTGCATCTTTGGGGTAAATACCCAGTAGTGCAATTGCAGGGTCATACGGAAGCTCTATTTTTAATTTCTTAACCAAGATGCCCTTCAATGGACGAATGGATAAGGAAGATGTGGTCCATATACACTATGGAGTATTATGCCTCCATCAGAAAGGATGAATACCCAACTTTTGTATCAACATGGATGGGACTGGGAGAGATTATGCTGAGTGAAATAAGTCAAGCAGAGAGAGTCAATTATCATATGGTTTCACTTATTTGTGGAGCATAACAAATAACATGGAGCACATGGGGAGATGGGGAG